GTTCCGTTGATTATAGCAAGCCCTAAGATTCGAACCAGCACTATGTATTGTCTAACCCGATATTTTCCCTAAACCTAACAATTAAACCACGAGACCAATTCACTTGAGTGAACCAATTATGCAACGGCATGCATGAATAACCACGCATATGTACATAAGATTGAATATATAATTAATGAAGCATCTATAAGAACATGAGAGCCTTCTATAGGTACATCAGAGCCATGCATATGGACATCTATAATGTTGAAGTCGTACGACCATCTCTACTCAAATAAATATGACCTCGTAATTACTATAGCAACAAGGGCAGGTGAGTGAGTGAGTGACTTAGTTAGTGACAGATCGTTCACCCACAATAACGCAATCTCCGATTTAAATGACCAAAAATAACCCCTCGCAGAAAGTTTTTGCTGTCAAAAAAATATTATGGTATTGTAGAGTCAGCAATGGGAGCCAGCTAAAAAATGGATAATAAAACAATAAATTGAAAAAATTAAGCATTTTGCTTTTTTGAAAACCTATGTGTCAAAAACTGGTTGTCATGGCAACATGAGTGATGATATCAACATAAAATTTACATCAAAATCTTCCCTGATTAATTTTAGAAAATGTCCGAAAGTTTCAGAGATGTAGCTGTCTGGGTTCGAAAGTTATGGGCATTTTACTCGAGGGGGGCCCACCCCCCCACCCACCCCCAGTCTGTATAGGGTTAAAGTACCCAAAAAGAATTGAGACAGACTACCCACAGCTTGTGTATCTCCATGCTGTGACATCTATTAAAAGCAACAAATTCATTGAGATATTTCTTAAATGTAGAGATTAATATATGGAAAAAAGATAGAGTACAGATTTTGTCTTTGAATTTTTCTTGGCACACTACTGGTGAGATATCAATGGAGTACAAGACCCCCAATAAACTATACAGTTATTGTAATGTTGGGTTTATTATAGGAACTCCAATTTAATTATAATTGAGGTTTTGACCAGCATTTTGTTTGGGTAGGCAAAGTCTCGCAAAATAACGAGAATGATCAGTGTGAAATCAATGTCAAATAATTCCAATTGAATTCCTATTCTGAAATAATCATTAATTCCAAACATTAGATACTACGAGAAGGAGTTAACTGGCGAGTTTTGAAGGACTCACTTTATCTAGGGAGATTTTTAGTTCTTCATACATTTCCTGTATTTTTTACGCACATCATGTGAAGACTGGGATTATTTGACATCATTTTCACAATGTATCCTTCCTTGTTATTTTTGGAGACTATGCCTACCCAGACAAAATGGTGGCAAAACTSTCACCTCAACTATTTGCTTTTGAAAGTGACATGTAATTTTCACATTAAACATACTGCTTTTTGCATAAGAGATTACCTGATATTACATGTTGGAGTTTATATGATAAAGTTTGTTATGCGCTTAGTTCAAAAGTACTCAAAAAAAACAGCGATAGCAAAGGAGCTCTTGGTACTGCTCTTTCACAAGTAAAATTAAATTGATGAAGGATTAAATGCTTGTCTTTATGCAACATGTATAAAATATATTTACATTGGCTGCATTGTATTTTCCAGGAAGGAATACCAATCACCAGTCCATCCTTCTTTGCTAAAGTAACATCAGCACAGCTTCAACAGATATTTAGGTCTGAAACATCCACACAAATGCCTTTGATAGACAGACGTGTTGAGATTCTAAATGAAGCTGGTAAAATGATTAACCACAATTACCATGGCTCCTTTGCATTTATGATAGAAAAGTGTCAGAATAGTGCTCTAAAATTACTTCAGCTGATTACCACTTCACTAAAGGGCTTTCAAGATGAAGGAACATTTAACAATTGCAGGGTTTCGTTTTACAAACGTGCACAAATTCTCATTGCTGATATTTGGGCTTGCTTTGAAGGCAAGAGCTGGGGTCAGTTTGATGACATTCAAGTGATTACAATGTTTGCTGACTATAAAGTACCACAAGCACTTCTCTACCTTGGAGTATTGAAGTATTCTCAAAATCTTGTTGAAAAACTAAAAAGAGGAGATATAATCCCACCAGGAGATATTCTTGAACTGGAAATAAGAGGAAATTCTATATGTTCAGTGGATAGAATTTATCAAAAAGTACTAAGCAATGCACAGAATGATGATATATTTTGYGAAATGAAAAAGCAAGAGCTTGCCCAATGTTTCAACTCTGTTATTATTGATTTTTATTTGTGGGACTTTGCAAAGGAACAAGTTGAGAAAGATGTTGATCATCCTCCTTGCCATAAAACTAGAACAATATTTTATTGAACGATTCTATTCAATATACCGTACTCTGTATGATTGACAGTATTTTTATATTGAGCATGGAGGCTAATACCTCAAAATAATAAAATAATAATAATAATAGGTTCCTTTCTTCACTTAAAGATCTATAAGAAAATTAATAATATTTGTCTTTAAGGGTGTACTGACATATCCATTTCTAGACAACCTAGCTGCTATGCTAGCCAATCAGAGTAGCAGGCGCACACGTGCTTTCATGGCGGGAAAATTTTTACTTCCAGTGGATAGTTTTTGTTCACATAAAATGTATTTTTCATTTAAAAGCTCTAATCTTCGGTGTGAAGCATCAAATGGACATGTTTTTTCAATATTTATGTTCTTTGCAGCCTCCTGTTCAGCTCAGAACCAAGCATGGGTTTAGAGAAAAATTAAGAAATATGAAAGTTATTGGCTTTTTTCGCTTATTTCTGGCATTTAAAAAATCATATAAAAGCTTATTTGGCAATCATTCTAAAAACACGTTTGGCCTTACTTAACTTAGATCTGAAGTTCATTTCATCATTTTAAATCATTTAATATACTTTAAGAAACGACAAAGAGAGAAAACACACGCTGTTTTGGTTTTTGTAATTGCGACGTTTCGGTGTCGTCATGACGCCATTATCAAGCAAGTGAAGATAAATAATTAGATAATTAATATACTTTGCTTGATGAAATTTTTTGGCTTTTTTCCGTATTTATGATGTCATACAATGACATCATGGAATGCATTATTTTTTTGGGGGAAGGCTRAGAACCCAATATGAAAGCAATTCTACTTTTTTAGTCATTTGTTTTATTTGTTTAGTCATTTTAGACAACTTCTGAATTTCCCTAGCAACGGATATGTCAGTACACCCTTAAATTTCATTGTTCATTTCACTTTGAAACAAAAACATTTGTAGAAGTACCAGTAGTTACATGTACACACAGCTGTTGATGAGGGCTCAGGCCCATGAAGACAATTCCCATGTGTATAGCAGACTTAGATGAAAGTTCATGTTAAATTCCTGATGTTCCTGTGTATATTTAACAATTATCTAACAGTGGACTGAATAGTAGTAAAGCCTTCCTGTCCATGCATTCTACACAGGCAATTTTTGTGGCAATTTGTTATCTGGCAATTTTTATAAGCCTGTGTAGATGAGCATAATTTGCCCATTTTTATTTGCCACGTAAAAACTAGCATAACAGCTATCTACACAGGCAAAAAATTGCTCTTGTTGAGGGKTTGAAAGTAGTACTGAATTATGGTATTTAATTATTATTCAACATTTTTCTGTTATCTAGTAATTAAAAATATTTAGCAGCAGAGTGCTCTTAGAGTGATCGCACTTAAACTGTGCAACTATATATATATATATATATATTTAACAAATCAAAATCGCTTTTCTATGGTCTGCACGCTTATCGACTATGAAAATGGCGTCAGRAAATGATCAAAACCCAAGTGGAACCACGAGCGTAGCAAAGCCGAAAACAARGTAGAACTTTCAAAACAAAACTGTTTGTGGTGCGCGCTGGCTCCGTGCGCGAGTGATTCATCATTTCATCGGTCTGTCCTAGGATCGACAACGGCTCCTGGCCAATCAGCGCRCAAGAATTCTACAAGTTACGGTAAAATTATACTATTTTGTACTATTTTATGCTAATTCTTTYTTTTTTTTCAACTAGCACTATCTCAGGGACCGCGGAGCAAGGGGAGCTGGGGGGCTACAGCCCCTCYAACAATATTTCCGACATTTTGAATATTCTTAAATAAAGAAGCGAAGAGCCTCCTTATGAAGTCTTTGGGATTTTATGGATAATGTYGCTGACTGTGTCTGCAGTAAATATGTCTCGGATAACCCCTCAAAACGCTGGAAATGGCATTTCTGAGAGTTAAGATTTCAGRAATTTCCGAACCCCCTAGTACCTCCTCGCCGCTAGTTMCCCCAAACAAAATCCCGCTCTGCGGTCCCTGTATCTTGCACAATTTAGTAATTTAGAGTGAAGTCATTAGAGCCATTTYCATCCGTCTGTGAAACAATTACTACTAGTCACTGTTTAATAGTGTCTAATAGTTGTATTTCAATAAAAGAAAGCAATTGGTGTAGAGTCAACAAGCATCTATTAGCGAAGGAACTATTTCACAGTCTGATGAAAATCACTCTAAACCTGTGAAAAATAGATATTACACTAATACACCTTTGTATGCYCTAATTGTTGTGTTTATATATTTGACTTTCATAGTTGAGGGTGTCAATGGGGTTAACTGACTAGCTTATAAGGCTGTTTTTTCCTAGTCGTAAGCCTAACTAACGRAGATTTAACTGCTTACCGTATAAAGTAGCRTCAAATTTTAAACACATTTCACTTTCTCATAACCAATTATTGCATCAAACCATCATGTATTTATAAGTAAACTTGCGGGCAAAGATTTGAATAATGAACGAGTATACGAGAAGTACTTTGATCATGTTTCACTTTAGATATTTCGGCTACTAGCCGTAGCCATCATCAGTATAYGTAACTAAAACTAAAAGAATCTGAATTTTACATAAATTAGTTAAGTAAAGACAAAGATATGGTGATATAATGTATTTGATATTAATTTCTTGTTTTAGTAAACATAACATTTACAGTTTGGAAGATTTTCTTTGTCCTCGATGCTATTTAGCGATGTGTGAGTCATGATCAGTCATTTGTGACAAGAGTAACGCCAATGTTATTGTAGAGATGTGTTTTATATTTGGTTACCATGGAAACAATGCAACAAAAATCATTTAACTGACTAAGGCTTTTTTCAACTGTTTACTGACTAAATGGTGATTTGTTAACTGTTTACTGACTACAGGCATAYCCCATTGACACCCTCATACTTWAATAGTTAATTTTTCTTTCACAGATTAATGACTTCAGTCTAGTGTTTCAAACTTAAACACTCTATAATATGGTTTCTGCTATTTCACACTTYTACATGTAGTAGTTCCACTCTTAAGTTCTATCTTTTCTCAGAATGGTAAATTCACCACTGTCAAGGTATACCAAAAATGACCAAAGAAAGTGTTTTTACAGAAAATGTGTCCATCTTATGTTCATAATCTTCCTATAATCACTTGTAATTTGAAATATATTCCCTAGCCTAAATTTTTTTTAACTTCCATTTGTATGTGGAGTTTTTCTTAAAATTTTACAAGTTTAAAGCCATGTCCAGTGTCAAACACTGAAGGCAAAAACCACTTTATTTTGAGTCTTCGACAATTGTCAAACAGCCAGTCAAACATGCAAGTAATGTTAGTACTGCATGGCAGGTAAGTGAAAAGTTTTGTTACTGGTTTCATAAAGCGAGGAAAATGGTCATCAATGTGTTGAGCAATGTCTTCTGCTCTTGGTTTATGGAATTTAAAACAACACCAATTTTGAGAAACTCCATAAATTGGCTTTACGTTGGGGGCTTTATTCTTTAACGATTTTTTTTCTGAGATAACTTCTAGTGAATCAACCTCAAGCAACATTTTGGTTAGTTCGCCAAGTGGATAGTTGTTTCCTAACTCTGGATCATAGAAGACTTGGAGTTTTCCTGTCTGGATTGCAATGTAGTCTGGTGTAACATCCCAAAGCCCTTGGAGCCACTTGTCTGAATGTGCAGTGTCCAGAAAAAGTATGAGCCGGGAACCCGTACTAGCATGTACACCTCTCCACCATTTCAGAATGGTCATGAAATCCAATATTTTACCATCTGTCAAGGCTAAATTTCCATTGTCATGAACATGACCACTGTAATAAAGAATGTAGGTGTCATAATGCAGTCCAGGTGTGACTCTTTGTTGGAAGAATGACTGTACCTTGTCTTCAGTATATTCAACTGAAATCCCACTAGTWGAAAAATCAGTACCAAAATTGTGTATCACATGACTGGAAAAAAATCTTGACACAACATTTATTAACTCCATTGCTTTTTGATTGACAGTTTGAAAACCCTCYTGAGGCAAAACAGTGAAGTTACCAGTGGGACTATACTTGTGAGCAGGTGCTATAAGAGCATATCCAGTAGCTGTCCCACCAACAGCTTTACCAAGTTTACAAAAMATATCAAACATCAYTGATTCAATGGGGATAACAATGAGAAAGAAACCCAAGAACAAGGGATTATCCTTCTGCCAAACACTTGCTGCTAATGTACATGTTGATATAATGGTATATACTGTGACATACTGAGAGACCAAACTGAAATGTCTAATGCCTTTAGCAGCCATTATCTCAGACATGCTATTATCRTYGAAATACTCTCCTTGGGCTTTTAGCATGAGTCCACACTCTTCAATTTTTGAAATGAAGCTCCATGATGTTATCAGAAACATGAAGTGAAGAACAATCCATGGAACACAACAAAGCACAAATATTGGCAGCCTATAAAATGATGCTGTGTCATTCACAGTTCCTTGGAAGCAAAATATTAAATATCCAATTTGAATGAAYACTACAGCAAGTATTTCTAGACAGTGTGTAYATTTTGATTGTAGGATGAGGTTTTTCCAGGACTCCAACAGAGACAATTTTGAGAAGTAAAGATCCAAAATTGCTGAGAATGCTACTTGAATTGCAAAAGCTGATATGCAAAATGGGTTGCACTTTTGATGTATGGCTGGGAAAAAATACACTCCTGTGATGACACACAGCAGCAGACCAGACAACAAACAAAAACTTGATTTAAGATGAAAGGCAACTAGGTGTGCTGTAAATGCAGTAAGAAGTAGGAATATTGACCCAAATTGAGCTGTTCCTGTTGAACCAGCAAAGAATCCTAACATCAGAAGAAGCTCTTCACTGGTGATGCAAGCTGGTTGGTAAGCTATAAGGTTTGCAATTCTTTCCATWATCTTCTTGACACACTGGATACAAACACTTGCAAGGACCAGGATATCAGTCAAGTCAAGGTCTTCCAAAGACACAAATAAATGGTCATAAGCAATTTCAGTAAATGCTAATACACTGAAGACAACACCAACCCAGAAATTTGAGAACCCTTGACCAAACTCTTTGTATCCATAGAGATATGTAGCCAATGATATGAGTATTGCCACAGCAAGAACAATAATTAAAATAAGATAGCTTGTGTCACTTGAGTGGTACTGCCAGCGTTTGTAGATACCTATTGCTGCCCCACTGTAGAACATTAACATTGACAGGAGTGTAGATGACTTTTGAAGAGATGCAAGAATTTGCTGTGGCATTTTAGGGCAACCTGAGTTCCGAGGTGTTTTAAGACCATGTACTTCTTCTGCAAAAAAGGACAGAAATAGCTTAATGAAAAAAATTGGTCGAACTGTTTTGTTAAAACCTAGGCTTATTATCTTCTTCTAGAACATGCAAATAAAGAGTAAATAAGAACATATAGTTAGTAGAGGGAGACTGGTAGGACTCTACAGAAGCTTATAAGTTACTGTAAACTATTCTGTCATACAATTTTCACAACAACTTATCGTACGTTATACGTTTGCACTGTCCCTTGCTTACCTGCCATTAAGCTTAATTATAGTATCTTGAAGCACACACCCAAAGGTTTTCAATTTATCAGAAGAGAGTCTTGGCGAAACAAAAATTCTAATTGCAACTAATCATTAAAAAGCGTGAAGACTAAAAAAATGTGATCAATCGCATTTTTATAGTGGTATTCTATGACTTCTATCGAACGAGTCCTAGCACAAATAATAGGATGTACGCCATTTTTAATCCTAATGAATGACGGGACATTTTTATGAAAAATGCCGCTGATCAGGTACAACGTTTGCTCTATCACTATGGAGGCTGTTGTTGTCAAAGATTTGCACAAGARACTCAGAGAAGATTTGAAAACTGGTAATTCTAGCCATTTATCATGAAATCTGTTTCTATGAATTCTGTGTTGCAACTTTATTTTCGTACATAAGCTTAACTATTCATAAAATCCTCTGGACTTTTGTTATCCCGCCAAGTCCATTGAGAGCTTATCAAGTTCAGCTAATTTTTCTCAACAATAAGCTTAAATTCGAATATTTGTAAGTTAAGATATTGGAGGTGAGGTGCATTTATTTAGTTTTTATTCCCAATCTAATTTTTTCCAAGTCGTTTTTATTTTCGTGCTTGCCAATCAAGCCATTCAACTTGAAAATTGATTGAACTAAGCTAATACATTTGAACGAAAAATTTGTTCCAATTGCATTTTGCCAAACAACTTGCAAACATTACTGCCAACAAAATCTTTGATGGTATAAATGGTAGTACTGTGGACTATGAAGCAAGAGTTTAGTGGTTATTCATAAATTAAAAATATAGAAAATATCAATATTTCTGTGGGGTATACGGTAAGATAAAGTAGGAAATAGTAGAAGGTAGAAAATAAGATGATAGATAGAAAATGAGATGGGATACAGTTCTTTTAGTTCTTTTAAGAATGCCAAAGCAAAAAAAAAAGACGAGTACAACAAGTCTTGTACTGGAACAAATTAGATTAAACTGGTTCAAAAATATATTGAACCTGAACTACAACATATACATTGAAGCTTCT